ATCCAGTCCTTCCAGATTTTCAATGGTGGTCTAACATCAATCATTTCATAATCTCAATCAAAAATTTAAAAATAAGATTATTTGAAATCTGTGAAAAAGTGAAGGGTTAAAAAAGGATCACTAATTTAATTAATTGGATCAGTTATATTTGTTTGTTATAATTGTTTCCAAGCTTTAGTAAATTAAACACTTAGATACTTCTCAAACAATAAATAGAAATTTATTTCGAATTTAGGTGGTGATCGATATTTCATAAATAAACACACAGAGCTGAAATGTAAACATGGTATCAATTTAATCTACACTTCAGTTATATCGAATAACAGATGTCGATTTTTAGTTTCCGAATACAAACATTGATATTGTATCTAACTTAAATAAAAAATTAATTGCAATGAAATGTGGACACATTATTATTCATCAGACCACCATATGATCATGTCAGAATCTAAAGTCAAGAAAGGTACAAACATATAGTGTCATATGAATTAATATATCGTTTTTCGCTGTTCTGGGAAATGAGTAAGGAAAAAAGAAATAATTATCGAATAATTAAGTAGTTCGGAGTAAATTCGTTAAGAAACATAAATCTCTTGTCATTTGTTCTCAAATGAATAACCAACAGTAGTAGTCTGTAAATTTCTGTCTCTTTATCATTTAACAGAAGTATTTTTATACAGTATACAGCTCAGACAAAAAAACTCTATGAAAATCATCTACCCGAGCTGCAAATCTCCACCATCTCATAGTATATGGTTCTATAATTAACCTATTGTCTCAATTAATATGTGGTGAACTGGAAGTATTGTGTTTCTCATGCGGGTCTAATAATTAAATTAATTAAAGTCATTTATATGATCCGCAATTTTGAAGTGACGAAAATATTAGCGATTTTGTAATTTATAATTTTCATTTTGACGTCAATTACACCGGACGACGTTATCGACGGGCTCACCACTTTAGTGTCCTGAGATCTGACTTCAGTTGGATCGTATGAATGATTATTGTCAAAATATACATCTTGTTTATCCTTGCATATAATTATCGACTTAACAGTATTAAATAAGCCAAATACGAGAATGGATTTTGAATATGTATATTTTATCCACTCATTATTAATTTGAACAGGTAATCAAAGAGACGAAACAAGGAGGGAAGAACGGTGAAGATTGAAGAAGGCAAGTGAGCCAACCGCTGTTTAAACAAGCGTTAATCAATATTTATAGTCACACAAAAATAAGTTACAAGCATGTGATGAATGGGATAAGAAGTGCACACGTATACGCTCATATAAAAACAGCCAAGGTTGGTAAGTGAATAATCAACAAGAACAAAACCTGACTTAAGAACTATAGATAAATTTACCTGTCCAGAAGCTAGAATAAGTTATTTGGACCTAAAATAGCAACCAACACTGCAAATGTCTCCTGAGTAGATTATCAAAATAAACTATCATTCTAGTCAAAATTGAGATGTTCGCCAAATTATTCAAGTCATTTATACACAAAAATAGCCCGAAAGGAGAATCAGTATGTATAGTTTGTACAGTTTTGATTAAATGTTGGTTCAACGCAAAGCATTTGTTTCACCTATACACTTCCTAAATAAATGTCATAACACACGTAGCAAATTTATCATTTGGCAAATAGATAGAATTATTTTGTTTACTTCCAGAAAAGCTTCATGAATAGCGTTGCACTAAATGAAATCAACATTCGGACATTCCAAATCATTCAAGTGTATATTGAAAACTTTATAGTCTAAGGCTTTTAGTTAAAATGACAAGATGTATTTACCACTAGTCATTATATATATATATATATATATATATATATATATATATATATATATATATATATATATAGTGTTAACTGAGTTATGGAATTTTCATACATTAAACTCAGTTTACATATGTTTGAAAATCTAAAAGTGCAGGAAACTTCCCAATTTTTTTTATTTTAGAGCGAATCTGTAAAACACATTTAATGATAAGTACTGGATGAAAGACTAAACATTCGAAAAATACTTGGTCGGAATCCAATGATTAGCTTCTTTCCAATTTTCAGTTTATTGAAAATTAAACACAACTATAATCATGTAACTATTACCATCAACACACCTTTATTTCCAGCATTATTGAAACTTCCAGTTATGGCTTCCTTCTAGGATTTCAGCAGACAATCCAGGAAGGAAAATTCTAACATTATTATGGGGTATTCTTAACTGAATTACAGCATAAACTGATAATGAGTATTGTATCTGATTAATGCATATTAATCATATTTTCGATGTTACTTGATGAAGAACATTCAACAACATGCTCTGAAGAAAAATTTGATACTAGTTGCAAATCGTCAGCAAGATAGGTAAACAATATTTAAACGATTAACTTTGCTGTATGGTTGAAATCCCTTGAACAGTTTTAAAGTCAAAATAATTTACACTTGGTTTTTCTTTATATTAACATACTCTAGTACAGTGAATATGAATTTATTTATTGATAATCTAAGAAGTGACCAAAATTATGTTGGTTTTTAAAAAAATTTGTAATCCAGTTTACAAAATACAAAATCACTGAGATCCGGCTAAGGTTAACAGTAATACATTGATTTTACATAAATATTGTTACTCACAGAAAATTACATAAATTCGTTTAAGACTAAAAACAATGCTCATTTGAATCATGAGTAATTATATAATATCGAGGCAAGATGCACAAGATGCACATATGCCAATAACAAACTGATCAATCGCCGTACTAAACATCAATGGGAAGATTCAAGCAAACAACAACAAGTAAGTTTTAATTTCACCCCACTGTACAAGCAAGTGGCTATCAGGACTCAGTAGCTAAGTGGATAACGTGATGGCGTTTGAAGCGTGTCCTGGATTCCACCGCTAGCCACTATCCATCCTTGATTATAATGTATGGGTAATTATGTTGATAAATATTCAATTTACATCTGTTTATACATAACTTATGCATAGAATAATAAACATTTCTGTAAATTATTATTATTTACAGAATTAATGTTCATAATCTGTTCAAATTAGATATAAATAAAACATATTTATTTATTATATGTAATCTTAGTTTACATTCACTAAACTTGTCTGCACTGTATTCATTCACCCAGGAACAAAATATAAACAAAACATTTTTTTCTAGAAACAAAACTGTTTATAATAAAATTTAATTTAATCTATTGGTCTTTTAAAAATATTTTTTTTAAAAGGAAGTTTTATTAATTTTGTACATTGATTTATAAAAAGTGCACAAATATTGATTTATTCAATTGATTTTTTTAAATTTCAAATTTTCAATTTGATCGAAAGTCCAGTTACCATTTTTGTCATTTTATTGATTGTTTTCTTTTTTATCAATAATAACTGATCAGTATTGATTATTATTTGTTGGTATTCTGTGTAAAGTGACTTACTGAATGACTCAATGGTATTTTAGGAGAAATATAGTGGCTTCTAATCCCAGTGAGAACATTGAATTTGAGATGAAAAAATACATGCAGCCAAAGTGTCCTGAATTCCAATAAAAGGCATTAAGCGAATTTACTAACGAAATTCTGATGCTTTAAGTTACCAGTCAAAGTATATTTTAAAATATACCTTTTGAAATTTGTTTTACCAGATGAATCATAATTTGAATATCATAATGTTGTTATTTGTTGCAGCAAATAATTATCAAATAATAATTAAAATGAAGCACTTTTGGAATGAATTTGAGTTGCTTTCATTTCATTTATGTACGGTTTTAACTATTCATTAGGTTAATTCAGTTAAAAAAAGGGTTGTGCACAGTCTTCTGCACATACATATCTGGTTTTTAGTCTAAATGACTACTGTTGCTGCTGTTTGAAGGATTTGGAGTCTAATTGACGTAGGCAGGGAATTAACTATCAGATAAATTATCCAGAGTAGTTGACTTATGCTGGCACTATGAACAGTTTCGCTAAATGGGTTGTTATTGAGCTGTTTATTGTTCTGACTAAACATTTAACACTGTATATTCGTCATTCAGTATCAACAAATTTATCTTATATTACAAGCAGTAATCAACTAACATGCGATAATTTAAATGACATATTTGCCTTATTGATTCTAGTAAATAACTTCGGAACATGGAGAGAATTTATTAAAAATAACTTTCTTCGTCCAATTAATTTTCGTTGAATATCTTTACAAAATAAACAAAAGTGATGATTACCCCATAATAACAACGATCATATGCTCACTAGTGAATAATTTTGAAAAGTAATTCTAGGAGTTCGAAGGCCAGAAACCCTGACCAGTGGATTTCACTTATGGAAAATTTGCGAGAGTTACCGACCAATGAAATTGGAGAACAGCTGGATAACTCCACAAGCTGATTGAAGTTAGATAATATTAATAACTGAGTTCCGGCTCAACGGTCTAAACGTCAACTGTTCACTGAGAATCCTAAAAAGTTCTGATTTCCATTACCTTTATATCTGTGGATGCACAATAGTCAAGAATCCTATACTTGGATAAAACAGCTGCCCAAGACCTTGTAGTTTTTAATGGTAGTCTACCTAAAGTCATTCTATTATGTAATCCGTAAACTTTAACAGTCTCTACAATCCCCTAGTGTAATAATAAATATTGACATTTACAGATATTAGCCAATTACCTTAACAAATAAATAACAAAAGCACAGACAGAGCCTTTTTTCAACAAATATACAACTTTACGCCTCATTGTTTTGTTTTGATTACGTGTTCCGACTTCATAATTTAGTTAATATGACAATGAATCCGCCAGTCGTCTAAATAGTTTCATACTATAGTTTTTTTTTAAATCTAGTATTTCTGAATTCTTTCTCTGAATCCTGCTTCGATTCACTTCATTAATTTAAGTCGATTACAAAAGACATGACATTTATTTGATTAAATTGTTTATCATCACAAAACAAAGCGTATAATAAAGTATGAACACTAAGAAAACACTCTTTGTATTTCACTTACTCGGTTCGTAACTCCATTGATTTAATGTATCATGTATTTCCGGTTTTTTTTACTTGATTCCATACATGTATTTATGTTGCTTTTTATTGGAATTGATCTTTTGATTAAATAATTTGAAATAATCTCCTGGATGAAAAATGTTTAACAGCTAATTACAGATTTTTCAAACGTAATATAAGTAGTTTAGTTTAATATGAGTTAACACTATAATATCGATTTTTAAAGTATCTAACTAAACATTATATACAGATATATACATACGTATATATCTGGGTACTAATTATACAGCATTGGCTCATGTCTTAATTGTATCATCCCATCAAGTCTTAGAGATAGAATAAATCTAGTGATACTGAAAAATCGTATGTTTGTTTAGAAAATGAAATTAAAAACCACTTGATTGTGATAATTTGCTTGAATTATAAATTTAATAAAAATTGTTCTTCAGATAATAAGAATAACCCATTGTGTCATTGAATTAAAATAGAATAAAATAATGAAAAACTTTCTTTCTAATGAAAAATTGTTCTAAAAGAAATTTATTTTCGTTTGAATTAATTCTAATGTTAAATCATCAGAATAGAATTTCTCTGTTTGAAATTAATTAACCAATCAGAGTAATACAGTCTCTTTTCAATTTGATTGGATGAACACCAGCCTCCAATAAATAAACACTTACATAATTAACTTGATCTAGATGACATACTTCACTAAGACACGGAAATGTTGTATTGTTTAGCATTGTGGATGATATTTTTTATGCATAGACCAATGATAGTTCATATTTTATTTATGAAATGGATAGTTTACACTGTCAAGTCAGTGTGGATGATATGTTATGACTGTTCGGTAAATATCTGGCATTATTAAATATAATTCAACTTCATAAGTTAAAAGATTTTTTTTATTTTGGGTCGGCATCTGGCTACGGATATGTAATGAATCTGATACTACTTGCTTATATTGTGGGTAGGTGGAATATATTTAGCGATTTTTTAGATATTATCAGTATAGGGCTGTGGAGATTGTTAAGTTTAGATTGATATCATGAATGGATCAATGTTAGACCACCATTGAAAACCTAGAAGCTCTGGACGGCCGTTTCTTTATAGTATGGGATTTATCAGAAATGCGCATCAACTTTAACCTGAAGGATTATCTATAAAATTATTTGGTACATTACATTTAGCCACAAAATGAACAGAAAGTATCGGATGCGTTACAAAATTACGGCTGAATCACATCAGCTTCATTTTGTCAACATTAAACAGATCATTACATCAAGGTAAAAAAATAGTAAACTCAAAATTGACTGATTACTCAGTAATAACTTAATTCATGTTTAGGTGGTCCTTTCTGTGCCAACTGAGTTCCACTGAACAATTTAAAAGCAGGAATATAGTCTAAACATCTCGACATTATGTGTACTATGTTAATATATTAGGTGGTTGTAAGTAGTAGATAAGCAACCTCGATCTGAGGTTACGTGCAAGTTTACTTTAGACAGAAGTGTTTTCCTGGAGTCTTAAGAGGATTAATGTTCCTTGTCAGATGAGGACTTACTTATCAGTCCTACAGGTTGTCGAAATGGCTCAGTGGTTACGTGTTAGACAGTGAACCCGAGTTACAAATGTCTAAATTTCACAGGAATCATAAGTTCCTTCATGAATGTATGTATACCGTGTTGATTAATTGCCACTAACACGAAACTCCAGTCGATGCTTTCTAGTCAACTACTTCTAACATATGTCATAAATTTTCTACCGTTTATTTGTTAATAAGATAATAAGGGAAAATTCTACAATATACCCAAATCCCATCATTATACTTTGTTCAAATTTCTTCAAACAAGCAGTGGAAGTACATAAATACGTCATTTAATAATTTTTACTGAGATCTTGAACCGATCAATGTTAGAGCACCATTGGAAACATGGAAACACTAGATCGGGACTCCTTTGTAGTGCGTATCAGCGATCCTGCACGTCGGGTTCGAAAAAGGGAACTTCGGTCTCTAGAGAACACTTAACCTCTTGACCATTTACCCAGCATCAAGCGATGTCAATGTCTAACACTAACCAATCCACGATATTGCCTAACCACCTTCCATTGTCTTCGGTTGGTAACTCAACGCTTCTGAACCTGATTGCTCACGGCTTATCACCAAAACTCTGAGAGTTACCACTGGAAGCTAGTCACCAATGAGCACATGATATATATATATATATATATATATATATATATATATATATGTTCACTGAAACAACGGTTTTCTTATCTATTCTGTATATCTAAGTTTATCTTGTAAGATTAAACTTCAGACATTTTAGCCCATATTACATTTAACGTGATAGAGAAAACCACAAAAACTGTTCTCAAAATAACGTTGCATTTATTTGAATCTTACTTGTTTTACAGCTTAAAACACGTATCTAGATAATCATGTTGAGAATTGAATTTTATGTTTAAAACTCATATATTATATTTACAATTTCTGATAAATATTCAAGGTCATTCAAAGAAAGATATTGTTATTATAAACCAGGAAAAATGCATAAGTTCGATTTATAATTTATAAGGGTTAATATTTCAACGTTATTTGCACTGGAAACTGTAATCAACCCCTTTTTTGCAGCTTACATCTATCCTTAGATGATTGCCTATAGATTTCCGGTTAGTTATGCATTTTATTAAATTCCCATAGTAGTTATGTGTATTGTTTAAAATGGGTGTTTCCATTTATTTCGGGCCTCTCAGCTAACGTTTGAACCTGCGTCTAAACCCAGTGTATTTCGCATGAAACGCACATGTTATCCGCCGAACTGATGAGTTCATATAAAGATTAGCTTGCCTGCCGAGTACGAATTTATTTTGTACTAAATTTCATCTTCCTGTTGATGTTAAAGCTTGCAACTAATCAATCTACGTCTTAAAACCATCACTGAGATGCATCCACTTCACAATAACGAGTTTCAGATAAAACGAAACATGAGGTTTGGATTGCACTGTTAGACACTGAAGAGTTTCACCAAAATGTTTAAAGCTTAATTTAGCGAATCCACTCAACTGAAGATTATTCTGCAGCTAAATGCAACTAATTTCCTGTCCATGAATATTTTTCATTACAATTGTTGAATTGAGATTGTTCTTTGAATCTACAATCCAAAGCGTCTTATTAGTTTATATATTATGTTTATTCCGATAAACACAATCATACAATCTACTATTGTTCCCTATACACCAAACACTGAACATTTTTCATCTCAGTATATTCAATTAATTGACCAAGAATCAAATCAATGACAGATACAATCAATATAAAGAAATAGACAATAACAGGTCAAAATTCAACAATAAACAATCAAGATCGAGGTCGACAGGAAAAGCCGTGAGTCATATGTGGAGGACTTAGAAAATCTCACATTTACATAAAGTTCGCGTTGATGATGTTGTCCAGAGGAACAACTACATCTCCACTTTCAAACCATCCAGCTCAGAGTACAAAACTCCACTGAAAACGTATTTTTACTGTAGTACATTTCGAATGTAAATAAATGCTTTTCTTCCCACATTCAATTACTAATTTTGATCATGAAATAAACCAACCACTTAATGTAAAAAGAATTTTATTTTTGAAAAATTTCAATTCACTGCAAACTACATGAATTCATTAAAATTCAGCTTTGAATGAATGTAGACACTTCGGTCAGACAATATTATTAATGAAGTGAGTTAAATGACTTGATGAAAGATTTTACATACTTTATTATTAAAAATATAAAGAGTGAAAAACTCCCGTTATACTTATAAGTAGAGATGGATGGTGGCAAACAGTGGAATCAGGGATGTGCATTTCGTCCCATTTGTGACTCGTCAACTGGATGTACCTGCATCCCAGAATCGATGTTCACTCAGGGACTCGAACCCATATATATTTTCATACATATATTGCACTGACAAATTTCGCCTAGATCAAAGTCGAGAAAGGTTTGTACTCTAAAGCAAATTCACTCGATAATTATTTTTAAAATATAGAGCTTTCTCGTACAAGTTAAGTTAAATATTTAGAGAATGGTAATAAGTGCTATGGAAACAATTTGACATTGTAAAAATTATAACAAGTCTATTAAAGAACATATTTTGTAGAACTATGAGATCGCAAAAATCTTAATGTCAAACTGTGTATACCTGCAAGTCAGAGGGTACATTGGCCTATCCTGAGTATCAAACAAATTGTTAACCTCCACTTCGAACCATCCCTCAGTTTGACAAATAAATAGACATTATCAAGAAAATTTTAAATAACTGTGCCTTGCTTTATTCAAAAGCTTAGTAATGTCGTAGATATAACTACCATTTCATCCAGAAAACGAGCGCATACATCGGTCAATATAACTTATTTGATGCCAGACCTTCATCGAAAGATTTTATAATACAGAAGTGTATTTCACTAGTTGATCTTATAAAGAAATATTTAAAAACCATGGAGCTTCACTTAAAATCAAGTAAATAGTTAAATCTATGAAACTGAGTTGTTGTACATGCTTGCAATAAATATCTATACGTCCCTTTGTAAGTAATTTCGAACACAAAGTGGTGTATCTCATGGTCTGTTTTAGTTGGTTTCCTCCAATAACTTTAGAAAATTGTAGTGGCTGGTGATATGTCAAACACGCATAGGTTATTTTAGCTTCTGTCCAGGTCAATTTATTCATCCTTCTCAAGCTATATTTTGATATTGTCAGTTGTTCGCTCATTAACATTGACTGGTTTTCTGTGATCGTATGTAGTGTTAATTGCTAACCCTATTCATCACGTGTCTGTAACCTATTTTTGTCTGAATATAAATATTGAGTTATTCTTGGTCAAATCGAGTTGGCTGGTTTGCCTTCTCCACTGCGCGTCACTTTGTTTCATTTCACTTCGCGTTGCTTGCTTCGCTGCGCTTCCCTGATTGACTGTTCAGATCAATGATTGCATGAGATATGCGTATTCTAAATTCATTCTCGTATTTGGTT